TGACGCATTTCTTCATCATCCGATCCAAATAACCAGATTCGATAAGTGCCCTCATCCTCTCTCAAGTTCTTCGCAACCAGAGATAGATTCTTAGACTTGGCTCTAAGTTTTTCAATCTTCATGGCATAATAGGCCTCGTCCTTGACTTTATCTTGCTTCTCCTCTCTCTTCTTAAGCATATAATCTCTTGCCAAATGGTTTTTACAATTGAAATAATTGCAATCATATCCTGAATCTCTAGTGAGTTTCTTCTACCCTTCTTCTCTTTTTTCTTCTGTCCTAACTTCTCATCACCTTTGTGCTGAACATTAGAACTAGATGTTGAAGATGTTTTCTTGAATGAACTTTTTTTGAAATTATTGTTCATAGGCTTCTTCTAAAACTTTTTGACATTATTGTTTGAATAATAGGTCACTGTTTCATCGTCTGAATCCATTATCAAGCCTTTTTCACCAACATCTTATTCTTCATCTGAACAAACTTATTTAACATTTGTTTTTGAGACCAATGTCAAAGGACCACCAAAATTCATCTTGTCCTTATATCAACAATTTCTTTGACCTCATACTCATGAGCTTTGAGAATGTTGTAAAGATTTGACAAAGAGGAAGAGTCGAAGTTTTCATGCGTTTTGATCATCAAACAAATGTTCTTCCATTCTTTCCTTAAACCAAGAATAAAGATAATGTTGAACTCTAGAATAGTTCGAACCACATTATACCTTGAGCACTTGTAAATCAACTCATTGAAATGATCATAATATGATTCGATGGACTCCAACTCTTTTGGCTTAAAATCAGCCAACTCGGACAAACATTGAGTCACCGAACTCTTCTTTGTGCACTCATTTCCTTGAAATTTCTCCTGCGTATTACAGACCTCCTATGTTGTTTTGCATCCATTAATGTAATTGTAGACCATCGATTGTAAGGCTCCTCATACTTCACGAATACACCTTTTATTATTTGCTTATTTCTTCAAACGATCCACCGTCACATCTTCATTATGTGCTGAGTTCCCACTGCTTGAACAAGATGAGCTCGACATGGTCCTTTATCAATCGAGCGTCATAAATCTTCATCAATTCCTGTTAGATAAACTTCCTTACGATCTGCCCACTGATCATAATACTCTGGAAGTAACATTATAGTTTTCGTGGAAGAACCAAGGAGAGTTGCATAATTCATGATTGTATTCACATTCATGTTTTCCATCTATTTGTTTAGAAAATAATAAAAGATTAAATAAGAATGAAATCAGATTCAATTAATTGATTCTCAATTGTAGAATTGATAAATCACAGAGATCGCTCGAAGAACACATTTTCAAATGCAGAAAAAAGTTGAATCAGAAAGAGTGAATCAACATATGAAAACGAGAATGAAATTCCTCAAGCGATTTGACGATTCCCGCTTTGATACCACTTGATGAATCAAGAAATCAATCAAGTAACGATTACAATCAGGAAATATGAACAGGAGATGTATATAAGATCTAGTTTCGGCTCTATTATCTAAAAGGATGAAAAGGTACAAGTGTTTGAGATATGAGTGTGTAAAAGTTACAAATGAACTAAGCATCATCACTATTTGTAGTGCCCTTAATAGATACAAAAAGTATAGTAGGACTTCAACTATTAGAGTGTTACAAAATAATTGTGCCTACTAAAATACATAGATATATCGAAGGTGTGTAACCTTCGATATAGACAGTCATGTAATATTTCAACTACTACCATATAAAGACTTCGACAATTCGATACCATCACAACATTTTTAGACTCTACTGATAGTAGCAACACACATACATGGTTGAGATCATGTGTTTCATCTAAGAAATTATTAATTTAATTGATTAAGTTTTAATTTAGTGTCATTTCAGGATAACTCCTAGATGTTACGAGATTCTTTGGTAGGTATATTGTGCACACATTGACATACATAAAGTTGCTATCTCGTTCTACTTAATTGGGTTATCTGTTAATAAAATTTATGTAAGATTGTAGAAAAAAAGATGGTATTAGATGAGTCTGACAATCTGTTGCAGGTATCTCATGTGTTAAGAAAGAAAAATCAAGGTTTAATTAGGATTCTCGAAGAATGTGGGCAAAGTTTCCACCACAGGTTGAAGTGCTAATTTACTACAAAAAAAATGCCAATTAGTGACAAAAAAAAATGGTCACTAACAACAGAAGGAGTCGTCACTAAATGGTTTACGGACCAAACTTGGGGTCGTCACTATAGGTCCGTCACAAAACCTGATTATTGACCTAAATATAAAAGTTGTCACTAAATAGTAACTAAAGTATAATGGTAATTGAATCTGAGACGGCCCATTTCGTCACTAAATGTTGTCACTAATCAATGAAAGTCATCACTATTTTATCTAATCAGTGACCATAAAAAGTCGTCGCTGTCTTATACAATTAGTGACCATAGATAGTCATCACTGGCTTATCCAATTAGTGACCATAAAATCTCGTCACTGATTTATCCAACGATCGACCATAAAATTCCTCATTGATTTTTGTTTCGATTTTTGTATTTAACCCGCTTATATATATATATATATATATATATATAATATATATATATATTTATATATATAATATATATCATGGAACTAGTCAATAGTAAAACATAAATTTTGTTCTCAAATTTAAATAAACCCACACTATATATATATATATATATATATATATATATATATATATATATATATATATATATATATATATATATATATATATCATGGAACTAGTCAATAGTAAACATAAATTGTTCTCAAATTTAAATAAACCCACACTATATAAATTGTTCTCAAATTAAAATAAACGAAAACTTGGGGGAAAATTATTTTCCGTAGGGCTCTATCTTAATTATTATGCAAACAAAGATCACCTAGTCAACAAAACATTAACACAACCTTCTAAAAAATTACACAAAAATAAAACCCAAAAAAAAAGATTTAACTCTTATAGTTTATTTTTCTACAATAATTGTCTTTGCATTCTCAATATCCTTTGAACAATGTTGATGAAATAGTATTGCAAAATATTAATCTATTACTCTTCAAATGAAACTTACATTAGCCAAAGCTGCCTCAGAGCCCTTATTCCATGCTTTACCACCTGCACGATTCAAGGCCTAGAAAAAAAAAATGTTTTACAACTTGTTTACGTATAATAAAAAGATAATAATTGGAAATGTGATAGTTACTCTAATTATTAAAATATAGTTTATCCATGTCTTCACAGGTCAAGACTCCAGATATGTAGGGAACACCTCTAACAATATAAAGTGAGTAAATCAGTTAAAGAAAATAGTACAAATGTGAGAAAAAAGAACATCAAACTATGATTGGTTTTTGGTAATATAAAGTTAAAAACATATTCATGTAAAAAAAAACTTAGTTATTAAATTTATCGAAATTAAATCATATCAATTAGAAGCATATACCAATTGAAAATGGAAGTATGAGAAACTTACTTCCATTTTTATCGGGCAAAAGGGGGTGTCCATAGTAGTATGTCCCCTGCTTGATGTAGCATCAATATCTGTGGACCCAGATGAACTGCAGGGGGATTAAAAATTCAATTTGTTGCTTTCTTAATATCACACTACTATACATATGAGATTAAGTGGATGGAATGGAATGATCATGGATTGGAATGCAATAAGCAAGCTAATGGAATGCATCATTTCATTGGTATGCTCAACCTTAATGAAAATTGCGATGCAATAATAAACATGTAGTGAAAGTATGTAGCTATTTCTTGAATCTGCAATGTTGTAAATAGAAAGGAATGAAAGTAGGATGCCATAATAAACAAGTAATGAAAGAATGTTGCTATTTCTAGGATTTACAATGTTGTACTAGAATTGGTAAATTGAAATAGAAGAGAAACATATACCTTTAGAATTGGTCCATTCCATTAAGCAAAACAATGGAATGAACCATTCCATTCCTTTTCCGATTTCATCGTACCAAACAATACCTTAAATCAACTTCACATTACCTATCTGCCAGAAGGAACTTTAGGTTCTCCCTATTCCATAGCCTTCTTTCTAACAAATCAAAATCAGATTTTCCATCCTCAAAAAGCATCAAGCTTAAAAAACAAAATTGAAATAATTGGTGTCCCACATGATAAAAAAAAATATTGGGTAATCACCTCAATTATGGCACCAAATTCTGAATAAAAGCTTTGATATCTCTTGCAAACACGCTACCCCAAAGAACCATCCTTCAAAAGCAAAGCATAATATCAAATTATCCACAATGTAATAATTTTGAGAAAGGTTCATGTAATGGGTAAAAATAGTAAAATACCCATGTTCGAAGATTAGAGACAATAGCGTAGTTCGATCTTTGCAATTCTAATAAGATAAATTGTTCTTGGATTTCATTCCAGGCAATGTATGATGAATTTATCTGCAATTTGGTGTGCCATTGTGTTAAAACCCTATTAAAAAACTTCATTCCAGGCTATAGAATCGCTTGAAGAAGAAATAGTGAAACTAATGTAAGATTCAACACACAAATGGGGCATTTAATCGAGTATCCAGCAGACAGAAGCTTGATCTACTGTAGAGCTTTCAATTTAGCAGTTTGTATGTGTTCACAATTGACATAGATATAGACTCCTGATTATAAGTTGAGGCAACTTTACTTACAATTGGATCAGGTGCATCACTTTGCTTGCATATTACCCAAGGAACGGTTGTATTAAAACATAAAGTAGTTTCTGCTGCCTATTTTACATATAGCTCTCCACCAATTTCATAGGCCCACTCAACGTCTCCATATTCATTCTTAACATGTTATATATGACAACATACTGAGAAATATACTTGCAAGGAGTTAATCATAAGCATATCTTTCGTATTCCCACATGCACTAGAGAGATAGAACTTAAAAAATGAACATTTATTCATATAGGTCTGTTAAGTCCTAAATAATTGTATAGATTTGATTGATGCCATTTACCTACTAAAAGACACTTAAAATGTATAGGATGAAAAACACTATGAAACTATAATTAACACTGTGTGTGGTAATGGAGTACCTGGTAAGGGACATTTGTGGTCCGAAATTGGATTCCAGGAATGAAGTGTAACCAAAGAGGGAATCCCCTAGTCGAGCAATCAAACATTCATACTTAAGGCAAGTAATCCTGGATCAATTCATTGAAAAAAGAAAATCAAACAAAGCTATTAAGAAACATCTACACCTCGACTCTATCAAATCAACAAAAATTTACAGAATCCGGAAGATATATAACAGAAAATCACAAAAAAATCCAACATTCCTCAGAGACACACAGCAAATCGATCATAAAACCTCAAAACAAAACAGCGGGGAACAAATGCCACCACGATATCCCTCAATCGGAAACATAAAATAAAATTATAGAAAAATCGACTCCTTTCATAAGCGATTGCATATTTCTATGTGTTTTTGATTGTGTGTGTTCATATGTGCTTGTGTAAGTGTGTGATTGTGAATAGGAATCGGAATGGAATCGAGAACCAAAAAAGTAGGTAGAGGAGGATATCGTTCCTGACCAATCAATGAGGAAGAAGAGAATAGAGATTGAGGAAAGCATAAAATTACCTTCGACGTTTGGTAATGATGAACACAACATCAAATGCGGGTAATTAAGCTCGAATTGAAGTTTTTCGAGCCCTAATCACACCTTAATCAAAATTTGGGGAAGTGATTACCTAATCAAAATTTCAATTGGTAAAACTAGGGCTTCAAAATTTGGAGCACGGTACAAAAGTGAACGAAGGAGAAAGTGGTGATCTTCAATGCGGTACCAGCGCCGACGGAAGGCGGAAGTCGAGGTAACGATGGTGGCAGTGATCGATGTAGATTTTGAACAGAGGAAAGCGAGCGCGAGGTCTGTGTAGCATAAATACGTAATGGAGATGATAACCATATTTTGCGTTTATTTTATTAGAATTTAACCCTCAACTTATCGTACTTATGCTCTCACCCCTTCACCTTTTAATCATTTCCACTAAGACCCTTATTATTACTCCAAACCCCTTTGTACCAAATTACGAAATTACCCTAACAATAAATGGGTAAAAATCACTACTATGAAATAATCACACATCTATGTGATGACACATACATATCTACATGATGGCACATACTATCCAATATTTTTGATGTGAAAGTACCATAAAGCTGTTCAATTGAATAAACTATCCTCGTGGCCATTTACATAATGTGAGTTTATAATTCTCATTTTTGTTTTTAAATTTATTAGATTATCACCCACATTAAACACGGAGAACATATAAAAATACATATAAAGTTATAAAAAGTCAACACAATAAAAATACTAAGATAAAGTAAAATAAAAAATTAATATCATAAAACAAAAATAAAATATGAGTTGACGATTAAAACTATAAATTAAAAAAAAAACAAAGTACTCAATCATAAACTAATATAAAATAGTAAATATCTTCATTAGAAATAACAATGGTTTTCAAATACAATTTTAAATCTACACAATCACATATTTCTACTTGGTATAGTCACTATCTCAAAATCTGAATGAAATGAAAAATACTTCATAAGAACAATGTACCGGAACGACATACTCAATCGTATTTCCTTTGAAATAAAGGAGAATGTTTCAATAATCCCACCATTCGAGCCCTCGGGGGCTCCGCCCTACCCTGGTGTCCATTTGTGATCCTCAGAGTGGCTGGCGTTGGACCCTGCACCGGCTTAGCCGCAAACAATGGACACTAGGCCTTCACAAGGCCCACGTGATCACAATGATAACAAATCTTGGCACTCGGTATTAGGGCCGATTGGCGACAATCCCTCGTGAAGTGCCCCTCCTTGCCATATTTGTGGCATCCAGCAGATGATCGGCAAGCACCCTCATAAACCTTGCTGCACTTGCCACAAGTGTGGCCCCTCTGTGCCCGGACCTCGAATCAACAGGTTTGAACCGCTTTGTTGTAGGATGTGACTGAATAGGATCATGCCTGAACTCCTTCGTCTGAATCTTAATCTCAATCTCCCACATCCTTGCAGCACCCTGGAGCTCAGCGAGGGTAACATAACGCTAGGTGGACACAAACTGCTGAATAACCGTCTTGAGCATGCTCAAGTACCGAGTCATTTGAGTGCACTCAGACAAGCAAACTCGGGGTAGAAAAGAGCCCTGTCAGTAAACATCTTGGTGATCTTTGTCACCGTCTCAGTCGTCTGTCTCAGATCCTAGTACTCTAGAGCCAACCTTTCCCTCTCCACCAAGGGAACGTATCTCGATCGAAACATCTCCGAGAACCTCTCCCAAGTAATAGCAGCTCTCTGCTTAGGAGTGTAAGCATAAGTCACCAATCTCCACCAATCCTTCGCCCCCAACCGCAGCAGGTTCAGGGTGCACTTGACCTTCTGGTCAACAGGGCAGCAACATGTAAAGAAACAACCCTCCATATAAGACAATCACCTCATCGCCACACTCGGATCCCTGAGCCCCTCAAACTTTGGGGGCTTCATATTGTCGAAGTCCCGATACTGGAAAGATCTCTCTCCTAGAATCCCCGCCGCAGAAACAGTCGTGGTAGCTGCAATAACAGCAACGTCAAAAAGTGTAGTATAACGATCATCAAAGATCTCAATCATAGCGGTCTTGATAGACCCAACGTCTTCGGCATAGACCTCTGGACAACAGTAGCCACCTTATTGGCGATGATCTCCCGAATCTGATCATCTGTCAAACCTAGTCTATCCTGGCCACCCGCTCCAGATCCTAATCGTCTCGTCTCAACCATTCTAAAATTAAACCAAGACACATCAGAAAATCCATAATACCCATTGCTACAATCACAAGACGAGACTAAAACCTTGGGGTTTGTAACTTTGTTTCTACGTGTACGGGTCATGTGCTTTCAGTAGTGCGGGCCCATACCACCTTCCACGCCTACCCGTATTTTTCTCAAGGATCATCACAACAACCCACACAAATACAACAACTAGAATGCGTATACATCCTATTCTCACTCTTTTGAGAGTGGCTAAACATTCCTCATCTGGCCAGTTGCTCACACATAGACTCACCCATGAAAATTCCACCAACCATGTAGCACTCGCGTATGCTAATCATACATAACACTGGATCCTATAGACATTCGAATACTTGATTATACCCTAAGCCCACAACCAAAAAAGGAATAATAAATAAGGCTAAACCAAACATTCTCAGGCTATAAAATCTTAGTTATGTACAACTATGATGCATACACTAAGAAACTACAGTAATGATGTTAATTTCACACAAGACGTAACCGTAGGCTATCAGGCATCATACATCAAGCAACTCTATCATGCAATTCCTAAATATCCCTAGCCTATCACTAGCATGTTGTTCTATCATAAACATCATATCAAATAACAGTAGGGTAAGTTAGGGTATACCTTCTTGCTCCGACTGATCATACACATCACATCCTACCTTGGTTACTTTTAAAAAAAATTTGCAAACCATTTTTAAAACTTTTGTAGTTTCTTAGTTTGAGTCTGGATTCACACGAATGTTCATCCAATTCTCTCAAACTACGGCTCTGATACCAATTTGTTGATGGGTTATGAGCACTACATCAATCCTATGGTGTACATGCAAACCCTAAAGCTTTGGATCTAGTTTGTCTAATATACATGCAATAATCATCCAAAGCTCATAAACCCTAATTCTAGCATACAATAATCGAAATTGACAAAAGAATAGAGTTTAGATATTACCTTGATTGTTATGTTGCAATAACAATTTGAATCCTTCTCGTAATTGACTTCTGAAAGCCTAGTGCCTCAAATGTTGCACCTCTAATGGAGTCACAAACACCATATGCAACAAGATGAACAAGGAGAGAGGGGGGAGGCACCAAAAACGTCCTAGGGTTTCTCTTAGAAGGTTAGGGACGTTTTTGGCTTGCCTAGGGTTCCTTTTATACTTAGGCTATTAGGGTTTTCAACCAAGAAACCCTAATCTGACTGCTTAGGCCCTAAGCAGCCCATGGACTCCCTCCTTAGAAGCCTTGGACGAATTCTAATGGGTTTCCCTATAGATTTCGTCCACTCCAACTTCTATGGAGTCCATTAGCCCATTTATGCAACTATCTTATAATTACAATATTAGCCCCCCCCCCCAAGTTTAATTAATCTCCTTTAGCCACAAAATTAATTCTTATTAATTCTTGACTAATATTAATTAAACAATATGATTTCTCTTTTAATATATTATTCATATAATATATTAATAAATCATAAGTAACCCTCTTTCTCCTTAATTCATCATATCAGTTACTATGGTGAAGGCAACCCAAAAGGACCATGCTCACAATCGGGTCAAGTACATACCAAAATAGTTATGGGTTTAGACACCTAATCCAAAAGTCTCCCACTTGGATAAGTCTAATAACTATTTTGCATATGACTTCGGAACCTGATCAGCAATCGTAGCTTTCAAAAGCCGCTGTCAACTCTGATCTTATCAGTAACGCGTCCTTTAGATAAGGGATCATATATTCCTCCATTCTATATATCGTATGAACTGAGACATGGATTTTAATTATACTCTATGTTCATGTGTTGTTTCCCGATTTCTGATTTATGACGACTGACAACAGACTACAATTGAACACATCAACTTAGTTACGGCTTGGCCAAACGCTTAGGGTGTCATCACTAAATCATCGAGGGGCCCACAGATATCGCTTTTATCCCACTTTGTGTAAAAGGAATGGATAAACTTCGACTCAAATGCTCGCTTGTACCTACTCATCGAATCATACACAATAATATGTTTTATAACACCAAGTTATTGGTGCGTTTACATATTATCAATGTGAAACTGACTTGCAGAATACAACTCACACGTCTCGGTTTTAAGAATATAAGATATTATCGTCTCACCAATCACTCGTGATAAAATCCATGAAGCGATCAAAGTGAGCGTGGGTTTAATCCAATGCTCAAATCTTATTCATAAGCACTCATGAACGTTGCAGCAAACTTTTGCTATGTCTAATAAACTTTAGAAAATCTACAAACCAATTCATGACAATCTTCTTTCATACCTACTCCCAAAGTATGAGCGACTGTGGAACGTTCGAATAATCTTATTATTCAGGAAGTCAAAACATGCAAAGTGAAACACAAGAATAATCGAATCCAATATGGCCCCAAACTTTTGAGTATAAATAAGACACCTTTATTTAATCACCATATTGTTTACTCATTATTCGTTGTTTCGGGTAATCAACTTATTACTTGAATTATAACAACAGTTGTCTCATGCTCCAAGCATGCACACTATGTTTACATATGGTCCTTACTTTGTGAAACAGATCAACTGAACACATTTCCAATGATACTCATTTCACAATTCTCAATCCTTATCATTAGTGTAACAATACCAGATTCTTGCCACTATTAGAATATGTTAGATTCTAACATTTTATGCAATTATCCTTTTGTAATCTTATTGTACAAAAGTCACCAAGACTTTGTCAATAAAATTACAAATTTCTCTATTGGAGATTGTTACAAAACAATTCCATAGATGTGAAGTCTCACATTCAAAGTACATTCCATTGAACATCCTTCTTACATAAAAGTTTCTAATCTAGACATAAAATTCTTAACGTCCAACTCCCAATATGGAAACATTTCCATATTTGTCGTATGACAACTTATTGTGAATAGAGTCTTATCTATTCATAATAATGTCGATATGGTCCATTCATGACTATACTTCCAACTGCTCACAAGTGACCAATCCTTAGGGAACCTTAGATTGTCGTCGACAGTTGTTTAATTATTTTAGTCAATCCGGTTCTAGTCCCCTTTCCCTCTTAATGCCCTAGGCATTTGGAAAATTTTAGAACGGTCAAATATTACAACATATGCAAT